TGTAAACCTTCACCTAAAGCACAATTAAAAAAAAAAAAAAAAAAAAAAAAATAGTTTAAAAAAATCTAACACATAGTTGTTTCAATTATCCACTTTGTATACGCACATAATGTCAAAGATTATTTTAGTTAAAATCTCTTAATTTGCATGTGTTCTCAATTCTGGTATGAATGACAAAACTAGAGAATTGTATTTTCATTGGTTTTGAGTAGCTTACACCAAGGCAACTAATTATTATTATTATTTAGCATTTTATTGTGCTTTAGGTGGAAGTTTACATAGCAAATTAGTTTTCCAATCAATGATTCTTATACAAATTTTTTCGTGACATTGGTTGCAATCCCTGCAATGTGTCAGCACTCTCCCCATTTCCTCTCTGGGTTCCCTGTTGCCATTAGTCCAGTTTCTCTACCCCTCCCTGCCTTCTCATCTTTGGTTTTGGGCAAATGTTCCCCTTTTGGTCTCATATAGTTGATTGTTCTAAGGAGCACATTCTTCATGGTGTTATTGTTTATTTTATAACCCTGTCTATTATTTGGCTAAAAGGTGGCCTTCAGAAGTATCTTCAGTTTCAAGTTAGAAGGTTGTCTTAGGGCAATAGTCTTGTGGGTTTCTCTTTCCGACCAGTAAGTCTTGTCTTTTTTTTTTTTTTATTTGAATTTTGTTCTATTTTTTTTTTACCCATTCTAACTAGGACCTTCCATCGTGATCCTGTTCCAAGTGGTCGGTAGTGGTAACCGGGCACCATCTAGTTTTGGTCTCAGGTTAGAGGAGGCTGTAGTTCATGTGGGCCATTAGGCCTTTGGACTAATTGCTTCTTTGAGTCTTGGGTTTTCTTCATTCTCCTTCGCTCCAGGCGGGAAGAACGGGAAGAGACCAATAGTTGCTTCTTAGGTGGCCACTCACAAGCTTTTAAGATCCCAGATGCTACTCACCAGGCTAGGATGTAGAACCTTATCTTTATGAACTGTGTTTTTCCAATTGACCTAGATGTCCCCCAAGACTATGGTCCTTATTCTTCAAGTCCAGTAGTTTATTCCCAGTGTCTAAATAGTTTCTGTAACTGTTCTCCCTATGTGCTCTATTATAGATAAGTGTATACATGTAGAATTTACAAATACATATGTAGAAATATCTACAACCATACCTATATATGTATGCGGGTGTACTCCCATACAACCTCCCTCAGCTATTCAGCATACATATTAGTCTATGTTTCTACTCACAAATTATTGTTTGTTATTACTGTTGTTACAGGATTGGTATATGTTATAGCATTTACCATAGCTGCTCTTTATTCTTGCAAGCTTCTCAGTGTCTTCCTTTCCTTTGGTCATGTTGTGGTGACTTCCTCTATATTGTGTATTGCCTTTCCCTTCACCAGAATTCACACATGTCTACTATCCAGTTAATGATTCTCCCATCCTCCTCCTTCCATCGCTGGTAACTATCAAAGAATGTTTCTTTCTGTGTGTAAACCTATTCTTGACTTTTTATAATGGTGATCTCATACAGTATTTATCCTTTTGTGATCATGTCCTCCAGATTCATCCATGTTGTGAGATGTTTCATGGATTCATGATTATTCTTTATCATTGCATAGTATTCCATTGTGTGTATGTACCACTCAACTCATTAGGTTTGATAGAAGTGTAATGTGATGTTAAGGATAATTTATGTTTTACAAAATGTTAAATTAAAAGCACCAAATGAATACTTGGAGCCCACGACTTTGTATCACTTAAGTTAAAAAAAAAAAAGACCTAGGAGTGACTAGGTTCACACTGCTTTAATCAAAACTATAGGTACTCCCCGACTTAAGATGTATTCGAGTTATGACTAACTACACTTAAAACCATCTGTGGTTTTTTTTGTGTACATCTTATCATTAGTAAAATGTACTACATACAGTGTTGCAGTATGTAAATCGCTGATGTTATCATTCTCAGATGTTCACTCTCAGATGTTTAATTTTATGATTTATTGTTCAAAACACTGCCGTATAGCGTCTGGTCTACAGTGAAGTCAGTGTTGGTGCTGGGAGTCTTAATGGATAGAAAACTGGGCAACGTTCAACTCTAACGACATACAACAATTGAACTGCACGTGTCCTGACAGCCATTGTGACTCCAACTCCATTGTTAAGACACTGACACTGACTCCCTTGTAGACCAGGCCTGTAGTGTGATCTTTTTCAGCATCTCATACGTCTGTATGTATGAAAACATATCTGAAAGTTTATATGTAATGTTTCCAAAGACAAATAAAGA